GCCACTGCTGCTCGCTCTGTGGTCACCCCCCAAGCCACTCCCTTTGTGTGACAAACCCAAGTCAGACTCACCAGGTGCTGTCTCCTGACTTCAGGTTCAGAACAGTGATTCTCAGGCTTTACTGAGCAAACCCTGGAGACAGGGCAGGGCTCAGAACAAATAAGGACGGCCCTGAGATGTCATACACGGAAGGGAAAGACATCAGGAGCAGAGCTCAAGAGCAGGTAAAGGAAGACGCGAACAAAGGCCGTCAGTTCCTTCCGGCTACAACAGACCGAGGCCTCCTCTGGGGCTGGCAGACAGGAGCCCCTCCTCCCGTGCCTGCCAGGCTCTGATGGACCAAAGCAAGAGGCCTATTTCCTCATCGGGCCTCTGAATAACTAGGGCACTTCCACAAGGTCACAGTTATTCATTTAAATTCCAGCTCTAATCAGCAAGCAGAGCCTGAGAAATTATCCCTTCTGAGAAGAGAGGCTGTCATTGGAGCACCATAAACAGCCCCACCTGGCAAGGGGGAGCTGCACTGGAGGAGGGGAGGAGAAGGGTCTCATACCCACAGGCCCAGCATTGTTTACTGCCTTTTAGATCCTTCTACTACCCTTTCTCTTCTTCACCCTCATCCTGCTTCCTCTCCCTTGGCAGAGTGTTCTGGAACACACGAAGAAAGGAGAGAAGATTGAAGGCAGGGCAGGGTTGGTAGTACCCACGAGGGACCAAGTACCTAACGGGTCACTTCCAGGCCACAAATTGGTTACACGGCCTTGGAGATGTCTTCCCTTCTTTGAGCCTTGATTTTTCTGCAAAACAAGAGTTGCATTCTTTGGACGGAATACCCTTTAAGCTCTAACATGTCTGAGGACCCCCAGACTCTTAATGCCCTCTGTGTATGGCCACACTTTCTTTCAAATAAGGATTGTTGAGGCCCAACTTTGGACTGTACAAGAGCTGGGAACGCAGCTGTGAATGGGACTCAGCCCCGGCTCCCAGCTCTGTGGTGGAAATGGCAGGTGTCAGAGGAATAATAGCACAGGCTTAGGAGGCAGACAGCTCTGAGGTCCTGGTCCTGTCTCTAAGTGACCAGGCAAGTTACTGAAGTCCCAGGGCTCCCTTTCTCCATCTGTAGAGAGGATAAGAGTGCCTACCTGGAAGGGCTGATATGAAGAGTTAAGATGAGACATGGAAGGCTCTCCAGGTCCGCAAAGCCACAAATGCATGTTGTCGCTTTTATTATTTGAATCACTTTCCCAAACACTAGAGGAGAAGCAGTGGATTCCCCACAAAAGACCTATGTGCCTTTCTTGTCCTGGGTGTCTAGGACTCATTCTCAGGTCCCCAGCTTGGACCTTGGGAGAAGAGCTGCCAGCCAGGCCCCATCTCAGACTGTATTTTACAGCACAGTTACTGGTAACCAATCTCCTCGACATGTAAAATTAATCGATTAATCAATCGTCCCTTTATAGTCTTCCAGCAGCCCCTGGGTAAATAGTTACATTAGCTCATAAAATCCCCAATTTGTCTTCCTGAGGGAAAGAAAAAAAAAAAATCAGAACCACTAAAGCTTCTTGTTTCAGAGCCACAATGCTGCCGGCTCCAGAGGGCCTGGCCAGGGGTTCAAAGAGGCAGGAGGCCACCCACTGACTTCAGCCAGGGCTGGCACATTCAGGCTGCCTCTTACCACAGCCAGGGCCACAAAGGAAAAGTCCGACTCCGTAATTTGCTTCAGGCTAAGAAACCACCAAAACGGAGTTGGTCGGGCAAAAGGATGGGCAATCACCCCTCAACCCTTAAAGGGCAGAAAGAAGAGCACAAGGTTAGGGAGTAGACTAGAATCCCCTCCTAGCCCTGCTACCCAGCTGGGTAACCTTGGTACATCCTCCAGCTTCTCTAGACCTCTACTTCCCCAGCAGTCAAATGGGGCTCAGGCTACCCACACGCAGGGTTTTATGAAGAGAGCACAATGAGATAATGGCCATGAAGGCTGAATGGTGCCCGGGAGGGCTTTCTGTAGCCGATATTTTCAGAGGGAGGGTCACCCACAGACCCTCACACCTGTAAACAAACAGAAGAAGGACTTTGGGTCCACTGCATTTCACTCTGCCATACTTTTCTCGCCTACTCTTTCACCAATGGGGCACCTTTGTGAGAGTTAGGAGATACCTCCGTGGTACCAGGCAGCCCCAGGGTAAAGGCAGGATCTCTGCCCCCATGCAGCCCCTCAGCGGGGAGACCCCACATGACACAATATACACAACTCTGAAGTAATGACCCTGGGTTACATCTCTGCTGTGATGCAGGAAGAGGAGGGGTTAGGCCAAGTGCCACTTTTGTAAACTAAATGTGAACTGTTGGGCTTGTTCTCTCACCTCCTGAGGTAACCCAACAAATATCATACCACCAGAGAGCCCTTCCTTGACCACCCTCTATAATTTAGAAACCTTCTTTCATCCTGTCTTTTCTCCACAGCATTTATCCACCACCTCATACAATACAAAATTACAGACATACATATATGAGGGGACTTCCAAAAGTCAATTGAAAGTATGAGCTTATTTTGGTCCAAGAAATTTTGAAATCCATGCATACTTTTTTCATAATATGCATTTCCCATGAATATTTTGAAGATCCCTTATAAATAATATATGTGTATAAATATGTATGTGTATAAATGTATACGTATGTGCCTGTGTGTTAATACATGCATATGATTTTTTTAAGAATTATTTAATTTTATTGATTCATTCATTCATTTAAATTTGACCAGAGAGGGACAGACAGAGAGAGAAGAAGTGAGAAAGCAAGCCACCAGGTCTGGGACTCGAACCATGGTCAACCATGCGGGAGTGTTCAGTGCCTTAATCACCTGTTGGTCCCAATATATGTTTTTAATCCATCGTCTGCCTCTACCTAGAATTAAAGGTCTGTAAGAAGAGGCATGGTTGGGACCAGCAGTTAGCGTAATGGCTATGTCGCTGGACTCCCACATAGTCGACCGCGGTTCATGTCCCAGACCTGGTGGCTTAAACTCACGCCTGGCACGTGGGCATGCGTGCCCAAGATCCCAAGAGGAGAATGGAGGAGAAGGAATTGCGGTGTGGCCATCCCCCTGGGAGGTGATTTCTGTCTCTCTGTCTCTGTCTATCTGGCGAGCACACACGCCCAATAGCAAAAACCTCTCCAAAAAATAAATAAATAAAAAATAAAGAGGAGGCATGGTCTTCTATTTTGTTCACTGTTCTGTCCCTGTGCCTACAACAGTACCTGGTATAAAAGTATTTGCTGTATAAGTGATTGAACTAAAACATTAGTAAACTGAAAGGGTGAATTGAATGATATCTTCCAGGAAATGTTGTCCTGTGTTTTGGCCCAAACACTAATTATGTTCAAAGGTGGGGAGCAAGCAGGAAAAAAACAAAGACAATGGAATCCTCTGCATTAGATAGGAATAGTAGTATTTCTTTTTCTTTTTTTTTTAATGTTCTGTAACATCCTATACAAAATAATGATCAGAAAGACACCACTTGAAAAGGTGATTGTTTTAGATACTTCAGAGCAATATAGGATAAATTCATTTGGAAAGAGAGCTGCTAGTAAAGAAAATGTTACTTTACCTCTTAGCAAAAATGAGCAAACAATGATCCTATTAGGAAATACTTACGAGATCTTCAGTCATTGAGAGTTTTCAGTGATGGGTCACAGCATGATCCAATGGAGTGTGCATGGGCTTCAGAATCAGAAAACCCTATTTCAAACCCCTCTCCTATTCCTCAAGAACTCTATGACCATGGACAAAACTGATTCATCTGTTGGGCCCTGTATCCTGAACATTAAAAATGGACATGACAATCTCGATTTTGTATTGATGCTATAAGGATTAAACATTAGAAGGACTAAATAAAGGCCAGCAAGTGGTGTGGTGGTTAAGACACTGGACTCCCACATGGTCAACTGCAGTTTGAGTCCCAGACCTAGCGGCTTAAAAATCACACTTGGGCATTCCTATGCATGTGTGCCTCAAATCCCGGTAGAATGGAGGAGAAGGGATTGCAGGATGGCCAACCACCTGAGGGTGATTTCTCACTTTCCCTCTCTCTTTGGCAAGCACACGTACCCTATGGCAAGAACCTAAAAAATAAAAGACAAAAACAAAAAATAGGACTAAATAAGAAAACATATGACTACCTAGGGTGATGCTTTTTTCCTATTGGTAGGGTCAATTATTCCTCTTGACTCACTGTTTTAGCCATTTTAGAATAGTCTCCAAATCATTCTAAATTATCTGATACTATCTATAGTCTTCTGTGATTCTATATGTGTGTCTGTGTACATTTGTGTCTATATACACACAGGATTTAAAACTAGAACTCCAGTTGATTGTACATTTTAAAGAGAAACATGTAATTATAAAAATAGTTCTATTTTTCTGTTGACAAAAAAAAATTAATTATTGAAACCATTTCCCTCTTCTTTTTTTTTTTTTTTACAGTGAGCATGTATTATTTACATAACCAGGAAAAATAACTATTGCTAATTCCATTGTGAAAAATAAAAGATACTTCTTATAATACAAAGAAAGAGAACTTCTTTTGCCCACATATTTTCCATGCTTAGTATGTCATATCTTCAACTTTTAGCACATAAGGCTACAGAAGATAAGATTTATAGAAGACATGGTAAAAATGTTCATTACATTGGAGAATAAATATCTGTGAACATCTTTAAAAATATTTTCTAAAATATGCTAATTTTCCACTTCTTTGATTCATCCAGAAATATTAATCAGAAGGAAGTGATGGTGTAAGTGTGGGAACTAAATTTATTTAGTTTTAAGATGAGTCTCCAAAACTAACACAAATCTATCATTTCTTCTTTTAAAGTTAAGTCACTGAAAACACAATATACTTAGATTTTGTCCCTAGAAAAAGGTCTCACTCAGAGTCAAACCATGCACAATCTAGCAGAGGGAAAATTCCCATGGCAGCTGTGCAAACACAAAGACTCACCTGGACCTTGACTGGCATCTGGTAGCATTTTCAAAGGAAAGGAAAGGGGAGGAGAGAAGGGGAGAGAAAGGAAGAAGAGTGTTAGCAGCACACACACACAATGCCATGTGCTCTTGCATGACTATCAAGTTCATGCAGGCCCCCAAAGGTGCTCAGCTTCTAAGCACTTAGTTCTACCTTCACCCAAAACCACCCATGCAAGCTGAAGGGCCAAGCTCCCTTTTCACTGTGCATGTAGAACGAGAGATAAGCATCACATCTGTCCGGAAAGGCATCATCCTGGAATCAGATAAGGCTCCAAAGAGCCAAGCAGACTGGAATCCTGCAAGAATATTGGTTAAAATATTCTGGTTGATTTCTACACACCAACACCCAAGTGAATCCTCCTCTCCAGATACCAGACACCGGATATGGAGTCAAGCAAGGTTTTCCAGCAGAGAGAAGAGTAAACCACTCCCTTGAGGAACAAAGAAAAAGAGGCAATAAGAATAAAGAGCAAATTGTAGCATTATTCAGCACATAGGACTGAAAGACACAGATCACAAAACAGTAACAGTTTCCTCCCTCCCCCATATTCCCAGTGACCATTCTTCATCACAGACAGCTGTGTGTGTGTGTGTGTGCGCACACGCATGCATGCATGAGATTGTGAGTGAGTGGATCATCCTTGCTTTCACCTTATCACTAATGACAAGAATTGCCATTTGAAATTACTTTTGACAACTGCAAATAAACACCCACCCCTGGAAAGGTTGACATTTGAATTAAGCCAATGAACTTTCAAAAAATGAAGAATGGTTCATTCCAGTCATCTCCATGGACAACACAATCTCCTCCCACCCACAGATGTGAAATAGAATCCTGCTGGGGAAGCCTAACCAAGAGTAGCCCAAGGCATTGTTAAAATCTCAAGGCCTGGCCTGAAAAGATACACTACAGCAGAGGAAAAGGGATATGATGTTGCTTTAAGAAACTGCTGACCATCCAGGCAAATTCCGGGTAACTTTCTTAGAACCATTGAATGGTGGATTTGGGATGGTCATAGATATTAGCTATCTAATGTGATTCCTTTCTGCAAAAATAAAAGATCAGGGAGTTTGAGAGAATTGTCCAAAGTTGCACAGCTAGTTTGACGACAGAGCCTAGAAAAAATTCTAGATCTCTTGAACCCCACCCAGTTTGGTGTTCATTCAATGGAAAACTATATCCCTCAAGGACATGTGGAGTCCAAATTCAGTTGCAGACCACAGTGAACACTCACTCAGAAGCCTCAGGGAAGCTGGGTGAGAACCTCCCAGCCACCCTGTGAGTGGGTCATGATTTATCTTCTGCCCCGCTCATTTTCTACTTGCGCGTGGCAAGTAATGCTCTCTCTGCCAATAATTGGAACACCTACAATCAGATTTGTGAAGTTCCAGTGAGTCCTCAGAGCTCTTGCCCCAGGAAAATCCAGACACGAGACTGAGCTGTGCCCTCATCCAGGAAGAGCAGAACCATAGCAACAGCTGAGCATTTCTCCAGCCCACACCCTGTATTCCCTAGAAGCTGTATCTGCTTGAAGAGACTCCCAGAGAGCTCTGCATCGTTCCTCAGCCACACCTCCTTTCAGGTTTTCTGGTAAGTTAGACTTAGGGGTGGCGTGACAGGAGGGAGGAAGAAAAGAGGCAAACAGAAGAGGTAGAATAGGAAAACAGGCTGCATAATAACTAAGTAGGGCCGTTAGCTGTGACTGATGGATTGCCTAGAATAGTGGTCGTTAAAATACCCCTTAATTAAGCTGAGTATCAAACCATTCACATGTGGTAGAATTCTATGGCAGGAGTGTCAATGTGGCTGTTCATACAAACACCCTCTTTGGGGCCACCAAGACCCAGAGAGACAGGATCCCTTGGAACTCCAAAGCTCTTTTGATAACGTTAGTTACCTATTTAGGGATTGTGGTTACCACCTCAAATTTTAGAGGCAGACAAATGTGGGTTCAAATCCCAGTCTAGTCTGTAGCCTTGGGCCCATCATTGAACTTCTCTCAAAGAATCATTTTCCTCAACTCTAAAATGGGAGTAACAACAGAAGCTCCCTCATGGGGGTGTTATGAAAATTAAATGAGATTAAATGCTTGTAAAGCACTTAACTCAGACAAGGTAAACACTGCAAGAATTTTAGCTACCCTGATTATTATAATTATGAATTACCACAGATAGAAATACCTAAAATATTGACCAGATGGCTCACTGGAAACACCAAGAGACCAAAAGGATTAAGCTAGTGAGTTTGGTTCAACTCTTCTACTTAGGAATGAGGACACCTGGTTCAGCTCCCATCTCTCTGACTTTTACTTCCTCCCTCCCCAGCCTCAGAGCAGAGTGGAAGGAAAAAAGGTTAAAGAGCTTAGGGTAAACAGAAGCAAAGATGGGATATATATATATCCCTCCCATTGTTATTTCTTTTGTTTCTTCTCCTCAAACCTCAGTTTGGTGCTGTTTGAGTCCTGTGCATAAAAACATAGGATCTGTCATTATCGACATTTGAAACCTGCTTTACCAACTGAGGAGTGGCAATATCAACAAGAGAAACCCCCTATAGCTTATGATCAAAGGCCATGCTCAGTTCTGATCATTATCACCTGGACCCAAGAAGCAGTGAATGACCTAATTTCTGGACTCAAAGGCAGAAGGTGGACAGGGAAGAAGGGATGGCAAGAAGATGGTGATCAGGACCCTGGCAGTATCCATCTGCCTATTCTCTGTCCAGTATCCTTTTTCTCTTCTTCTAACAGCTCCAGCTGTCTTCTACGGGACCCCTTCCCCATCCTTGATCCATGGGGTTTGGTAGAGGTGACTCCACACACACAATCACCTTAGCTGCAAAGGTAGCACTGTGATTTGGGCTGGGTCCTGAGAAAATTCTCTCTCCGGGGCCCAGTAATAGGCACAGGGACAGACATGTGATCCAACCCTAACCAATGAGAGTACCCATGGAATTAGACTAGAAGTATCAGGAAATTAATACTCTCTATTCCCTGAAACTGATGAATTCCATTTTCTTCCTTCCTTTATTTAAAGACAGTTTTTTGCTATAGGACACGTACACTTGCCATCGAGACAGAGAAAGACATAAAGCAAAAAATCACACCCCAGGGGGAATGGCTATGCCACAATCCCTTCTTCTCCCTTCTCCTCTCAGGCTCTTGGGCATGCACACACACACACACGCCCTGTGTGAGTTTTAAGCAGCCAGGTTGGGGACTTGAACTGAGGGGTCAACTACAGGAGAGTCCAGCGACATAGCCATTACACCATCTGTTGGTCCCTCCATCTTTCTCACTAAAAGACTACAGTCCACCTAAATGAAGCCAACGTAGAAGAAAACAGGTTTTTTAAAAAGAAATAATAATAATAATAAGAGAATTAAGATAGACCTAGAGTCAAATCTCAGCATCGCCCCTCTGTCAATAGGCAAGCGCCAGGCCAGCCAGTGGCATGGTGGTTGAGACAACTGGAGTCCAAATAGCCAACTGTGTGACTCAAGACCCAGACCCAACAGAGTAAGGGGCATGGCGGTTGTGTGTGCATGTATGCCCAAAATCCTGAAAGAAGAATGGAGAAGTAGGGATTATGACATTTTCATCAACCCTTCAGGGGATGGTAACCATCCCCCCATCCCTTTGTGTTTTACTGGTGGATACATGCATCGTATAGCAAATGTTATATATATATATATTTTTTTTTTCAAAAAAATAGGGTGAGTGCCTTAGCATCTCTGAGCCTCATCTCATGTGTAAATGGATACTAATAGTATCTATTTCGGTGAGTTGTATCAATGGAAATAATCTATTCACCAATCAATAGATATTGACTAAGCACCTATTATATGCCAGATTCTGCTTTAAATATCAGGGATATAAGAAGTGAATGAAATGGACAATACTCTAGGGTTTTAATGGGAATATAAACAATAGAAACATCAATGTATAATGTAAAATCAAATAGTGATTAGTAACAGGAGCAAAGGAAAAGCAGGGAAGTGGCAGCAGAGGGTCTTCTTTTTACAGAACTTACAGAACATAGCTAAAGAAGGTCTTTCTGAGTGAGAAATATATGAGCTGACACCCAAAGAAGGTGAGAAATGCTCTTATATACACCTGACAAAGACTGTCAGGGGAATAGCCAATGCAAAGACTCTATGCACAACCTGCTCAGTGAGTACACTTATTTCTACTATTGTAACAGAAGAGCCAAGGACTGGTTCATGTAAACTGGTACCTTCTCTTACTGTAGCACTCACACATGGCCCTCAGGAGGTAACAGGTGCTCAAGACCTTCTGTGGGGGGGGAATTCCTGATGAAAGCTAGTACTTTTTCAAGACCTTGGGGGGGGGGGAATTCCTGATGAAAGCTAGTACTGGCCCTCTTAGTCTGTGTCACCCTCCCTTAAGACTGCCACACTCCACCCAAGGGAAGCACAACAGAAAAGATTCGAAACCTGCTTTACCCACTGAAGCATCTCAACCAGGGAAGGAGTAAATTAGGACATTCCCACCTCCAGTCAGTACCCCATAGACACTTACTGTGTAGTCAATAATAACTTCAGCCACAAATGCACATTCAGCATGGTCATTTTCAAGTCCAAAGGAAGCAATTTCCAAAAGTTTGGGGAACAGGTTCTTCTAACCACAAGGGAAAAGAAAGGACCCTCCATCCACCACTGCTGCACCTGCAGAAGCTAGCTCAGCCAGGCAGCCCTCCCACCTCACTTTCATTTGGACTGGATCATCTCCAGAGCCAGGAGTCCAAGATTCCCTTCCCTTTCTACTTCGACACCCCCGCCACCTCCTGGAGGAGCTTTGAGGAGTGTGGGGCAGACTGTGCAGCCAGCCTCCAGGAAGCGAGTCCTAGCCAAGCCTTCAGGGACCCCACCTGGTGAACTCTGCCTTGAGTCTGACCTATTTTCTAGGAGAGAAAATAGAATATAGATTTAAATGCAGTGGTGCTCTGGAAAACTACAGGCCCAGCAGTATA